GGAAAGGGAAGCCCATGCCATGCTGTAGATGACCTTCATTAACTTTTCATAGTAAGCTTTGATTAAAGTTCATAGGGAAGCCTTCATGTGATGTCAGCTATGTCAGACATTTGAGACCTTTTCGCATAGTGCACTCTATTCAACTTCTACCTAGACTTATAAGTGTGCAGTTTGTTACACTTGAGTTATAAAATTGAAATAAGATCTGTATTTGTTTCCTTCATTCAGAAATATAAACTTTGTGCCTGTTCGGCTAAAAGGCATGTCTTCTAGTTGTTGATTTCCCTCACTTGTCTATTTTTGATCTCTTCTTGATCCGAGGGTCTATCGGAAACATCCTCTCTACTCCTACGGAGTAGGGGTAAGGTCTGCGTACACACTACCCTTCCCAGACCCCACTTGTGGGATTCCACTGGGTTGTTGTTGTTGTTGTCTATTTATGATCTAAACTTTGACTGTTTCCTCTTCGGACTCATTTATTCTATATCGCCACATGTGCTAGTGCTACACTGTCATGCATGCATGTTGTATTAAACATATGTTTGACCGAGTTCATCTCAAATCTTGTTTTAGGACCCTTACATACTGTGCTGGGACATTCGGAAGACTGTTGAAATTGTTTACAAGTAAGTTCCTTTCTACTGACTGGATACTCAGGGAACGAGAATGTCGGAATGATTGACTGGATCGTTTTGTTTCTGTTCAATATAGAAACTAATGAAATGCATTCCTCTTCAACTTTCTTGTATCTGACATCTCACTCTCTTGCTAGAAAAGCGATAATCCTTTAGCAGTTTCCTTGTCCTGTAAAATAACACTATATAAGCTCATATGATGTTTTCCTGGAGAGGGATTCTTTTATAATCTGAAGTGGTCTATTTTATTTAAGGGTGGAATAAATGATTATTGCTTGAAAGTATTGAAATCCTGTCTATATTGTGAAAACATTTCTATATTCTTTACATGCTCTTGCATATTCAGCAGGCGGGATGATTACATGAGATTCAAACATTATTCATTGGTTTTCCCCCTTCAAGAATAAGCTTAGATCACTTCCTGGAATTTGTCAGCTCCTTGGCTTAGCTTTACAAGTTTTTTGTATTTTCTGAGCTGACAATTTGCCTCCCTTTGTATCTTTGCATTCCCTGGATGACTTGATGATATTTCACTCACTTAATTAAGAAAAGAAGTTTTTATGCCAAATCAGAAAAAGCTAAAACTATTATTTGGACAGCCATGCTGCTCAAATTTTCTTTCTTTCCCCCATAGGCCTTATAAATTGTCTAGTGGGATTGTAATAGAGCTAACAATGTTTTTACTGCACTGTACATTTTGCATCTTCTTGATGCCTTAAATGAAATCCATTATCTTATAAAAAAAAAAAAAATTGTCTAGTGGGAAGTTGGTACCTTGTTGTTTGGGTGTCTTTTTTGTTTTGTATATGTAGTGTTTACATGCAAAGCGATGAGCTCACAAAAATATACTGTTTGCATCTGGAGACCGATTTATTAAAAATTGTAGAAATCTGCTTTCTATTATGTTGGTTTCACTTAAGCCACCTGACCCTGGATTAGGTGAAATCTGATTATTAAATGACATAGAAAAGAAAAGAAAATCATTAATGTGAAATGTGGAAATTATCAATCTATTGGTATACTAAAGAGGTTCATTTCCTCTTATGGGACAAGCTTTTGGAAAGTAATCATGAAGGAAGAAAGAATCACAAAATTCATAGGATTCTTGGTAGCAGCTGGATGTAGAAGATGATATTGGTGGAATTTATGGTGCCAAGATAATAGTCCAAAAGATGATTTCCTATTGTATTCTCATTGGAGATGATCACAGTAGCTGAGGTTCCAAAAAAAGAAGTATCGTGGGTATATCCTTTAGAAGACCTCTATAGAATTATCATTTAGTGAGGTGGAAATCCTGCTGAGATTGTACAATCATAGAAAGTTTGAGGATGTTGATGGTATCAAAAGAATCATGGTCGAAATGAGTACTTCCTATATCCTTCTATTTATTGGAGAAGATCCTAGATCTTTGTGGAGAAAATTATCAAAATCTACGCCCCGACAAAAGTAGCATTCTTGATGTGGTGTGTGGTATGGGAGCGATTTTGACTGCAGATAGCCTAAGGAGGAGAAGGTGGAGAGTGGTTAGTTGGCACGACTCGTGTAAGAAGTAATGTGAGTGTTCTACTACTTCATGGTGATTTACTTACAGAGTTGCACTTTTATTTTTCATTGCATGTTACCGAACTCTGGGCACAAAGGAAGGGTTGAGGGCAAATTAACAATTTTTTTTATACTTATAATTTAGCTGTAGGCAAATTGTCTTTTCAAATGGTGCCTAATTGTTTGGCAGAAAGGAGGGGTAGAGTGTCCAAACTTGAGGTTCTACTAGAAGTGCTTTTTCTCCACATCTCTACAAATTAAAAGCACCTTTAATTGTTACCAAACACTTGAAGAAATGCTTTTTCACAAAAGGGGCATAACTCTTCCTAAAGATTGGTCTACATCCTCAACATTCTATAAAATGGAAAGAAAGATATATCTTATCTTGGTATTGAAGCGATTATCCAGCCAATAGACACAGATTTTCGAACTATCCACGTTGAGACTTGAGAGTATCCATTTGCATGAATGCAATAATTAGTTATGGTGATACTTGTGCAAGTTTGAAATCATGGTGACTGATTGCTTCAGTGGTCAAGTTTCTAAAGTTCCCCTTTTTGTTTCATTTAATAAGGCTGTACAGATCATCAGAAACTACCAATCAGCGCATATATTTTGATATTGAACCTCAGGGTCAGCATCTTGGCTCGGGAGGACAGGTAATCTTCTACTTAGTTAAAAATTACATCTTCTGTCGCAATGAAATTTAAGATCTCATCTTGTGTGCTTGCTTGTGTGTCTAGGATGGCTCAGTTCACATTTATAATCTTCAAACTGGACAGTGGGTGTCCAGCTTCCGAGCTGCATCAGGTACTTCATTATGCTCATAGAAAGCTTATATTGGAAGAAGGTCCGCCTATTTTCTTCTATTTCTTACTCAGCTTATCCCATTTTAGACACGGTGAATGGTTTTTCCTTTCATCCTTTCTTGCCAATGGCTGCCTCTTCGTCAGGCCACCGGAGATTTGGAGTTTTAGATGACGCCTACGAGGATATGCTCCTTACTGGTAAATTTATTCACCCTGCATTGTTGGAATAATGCCCCAAAGTATATGTGTTCAAACTTTTGTAGTCGTCTGCAATGAAATATCTTCATAATTGATGCCATATCTCCTCCTCCTATGCTTTGATATGTCTGATTCCTCATTCCCATTTACCACTTTCTGAGAAACAAACTTGTTGTCATGCTTCTTAGTCCTACTTGCTTCCCTTCTTAATAAAGTTGCTAAAATGCTTAGATCACATCTGCTCAGATCAAGTCAATGTTTGCATTTGTTGTAGAAATGCTCTTTGTATTATAGCGGTCTGATTGATTACAAACTGTTAACAAGAGAAGTTTTAAATATGACTGTTTTTTCCTTGTTTAGGTGATGAAAATTGTGTTTCTGTGTGGAGCTTCTCCTATTCAGCATCCTTAGAAAATGCTGATAGCCCCAGTTCGGGAGGCTCAAATGGTAAAGATGAGCTTCAGGACCTTCATCAAGAAGCTTGATCCTTATACCAGCCTTGTGTATAAACTTATATTAGCATGTGATGACACCACCTTAAAATACAACCACAGAAAATCATTCTAAACAAACTGTGTTGCACTATTTATGAATGTATGCTCATTAAATTTTCCTAACCAGTTATTAGCTCAGAGATATTACTTCTGGTATTTGCCTCATTTGGACTTAACTTATCCTTTTCTCATTTTCCATTTTGGTATATGGAAAAGAAAATCACAGGAAAGTTTGAGGAATTGTGTCTAGCTTGCTACTTCTTGAACGTGTTATCCATGCATGGTATGACCGAGTCTTTTCATTATCTTCTTAAAGTTTTGTCAATGCTCAAAATAGCTGAAAAGGCATCCATTTTATTAACCTTGTGTTGTTGGAGTAGAGAAACCAACCATATTTCTCATCATTTCTTTTAAGCACCCCCACTCTTGTGAAACATTCAATCACACAATTCAGCTGAGAATCTCATTCATTGCTCATTTTCAACATTCCAAATTTTGCAACCTACTCTCGTGTTGTATGTCATCCTTGCCTAAACTTCAGGCCTATTCCTTCTTTCACTTGATCCAACTTGTACTAAGTACTCATCTTTCTACTGCATGCATTTGAATGATAATTTAGAGATGGTTATGCGGTTAATTTAATAGTAATAACGATGTAAGAGATTTGGTTCATGACATTTTATGCATGTATTATCTTTACTAACGCGGTCAACCTACAAAGCACTAAAAATAATTATTTTACGAATAATAAAATAATTGCCTAGTTTACGGGCATTTGAACTTATACTATATTTATACCAGTTAAAGCTATTACATATTTTTATTCCTATAATTTTATCTTACACAAATAATTACATTGTTTCCTCATAAATTATGCAGTATTAGAAGATTTTAACATCTTAAACCAAAAACTGCATTAATAACCAGATTTATATAAAGATCCAGATGTTATATTAGTTATGTAGAAATTGCATCGATAATGCGTATATAGTTTTATGTTGCAAAACAAACATTGTATCAGTGATGCAAAATATTATGCCAATATTATTTTTTCTTATGTGGCCAGCGTCTTAAATTAACCGACGACTTATCGTGTTTTTGGCTCATTCGCCAGATCACGTAACATTGTAAAACTCCCTACTGATAAGTTTGGAGTAATGAAACTCAGTTTAGTATAATCTGCTCTTTAATTAAGTTTTTCCCCGTTAGAATATATGTTAATTCAAATTTCAAACTTGAAACAATTTATCACATAGATAAAAAATTTATTAAATTATTTTCTATTATCAAAATTTTTCATTTATTTATTATATAACCTGATACTTCGGGGCTCTGAATTCAAATAAAACGCCATAAAGCAGTCCCCTCTAACGTAATCTAACTATAGATTGCTTTTATGTGTACTTACTTATGAAATTTGACTATATTCTTATTGTTTTTTTTTTGCCAGATAAGAATACATTCATTCATGCACTATATATACATAGGTCTCTCACATTTTCTTCTCACTACATTTTGTCTTAATATTTCCTCCTCTCTATATACATCTTGTCTTAATATTTCTCTTTTGTAACTTAGAAAAATAGTTATGGAAGCATCAAGTTCAGGGTCCAAAATAAAGCGAGTTTTGGTGCCAAATCCAAGGAAAAGATTTAGGAGAAACTCTTTGGAAACAAATAATAATGATGAATCCAATAATTCTACTGTGTATCTTCCTAATGAAATTGTTGATAGGATTTTCACTTTTTTACCTATCGAATATGCTATTACTTCTTCTTCTCTTGTTGCTAAACCATATAGATATTCATGGTTATATTCTCGTGACCTTTGTTTTGATAAAGATTTTAGGCGACGTTGTCGAGCGAGACAATGGTCAGAGGCGTCAGTTGTTAATTATATATTACTGAGGCACTTAGGTGACAAAATTAGTAGCTTTAAATTAAATGTTAGTCCTATACCATATGCTGCTTATTTTGAGAATTGGTTTAAAATGGTTGCTTCAAAAGGCGTAGAAGAGTTTCAAGTAGAGTTAATTCAACCTTATCAGTATTGTCAAATAAAATCTGATATCTTCACTGAGCCAACTCTTCGCGTCTTAAAATTAGTCCGTTGTGAATTGTTTTTGTCACAAAAATTGAGTGGTTTACAATTCTTGAAATCTCTTAGTCTAAGTATGATTCCTGTGCCACCTTTTTTTACTAAAAAGTTGTTGTCAAGCTGTTTGCTTCTTGAATCTTTGGCTCTAGAGGGTTGTTCTTTGATTGGTGAAATTAATATTGAAGGTTTGAATAGGTTTAGTGCTCTTGTGCTTAGACATTGCATTGACTTAATTTTGGTCACTATTAATACTCCAAGTATTAGCACACTTCATTATAGTGGTAAGATTAACAAAATCAAGTTTGTGGATCCAATGGTCATAAGATTAAAAGATGTGATCTTGGATTTTGGTGCTACAAAAGGGCTTCAACATATAGCTCATAGGGATGATTTGATGGAAGTTTTGAGAGATGTTGAGACTCTCTCAATTACCAATGCTGTTCTTGAGGTAAAATAATTATATCATATATTTTTTCTTTTTTTTATAATTTAATTTATATCCACTGACAGCGTAAATAATTTTTTTTATTTGATTAGGGGCTTTCTCCAAGATTTGTGGATTTTGAATACAGAGATGTGGAATTCTATTTTCAGAATTTGAAGGAACTCCAATTGGTTAGACGTGGATTGAGCTTTGTCAACCCTTGGGACATTCTTTGTTTTGTCAAGAATTGTCCCAACATAGAGAGACTCTTTATTGATGTAAGTATATATTCTGACCTTTTTGAACAATTTTTTTTTGGTTTGCTATTGTTTATTACTTAATTTTTCTTGTCTTTGTGAAATTTTTTGTTTAATTTATCTGTAAATTTTTGTAAGCAAACATATCCCGGTCATCTTTATTTGTTTGCCCCTGTTATTTTTCAACTTGAAAATAGAACTTTTCAAGATTTATTAATCGCAAAATCCAGAATAAAAAGTTATGAAATTGAAACCATCAACATATATGGATTTTTATTTAATGCCTTTCTCTTTAGATCTGATATTTTAAAAAGACAAATTTAAGTGATATCTGTTCCTATATAGAAAATAATCAAACCTACTATCAAAAAGGAAAACGAGAAATAAACTGGAATATTAGAATCAGTTGATGATGTTGTTTCTCGTTAATTTGTACGCATATCTTGGAATTAAAACTCATAGTCACAACTAGCTTGTTTTATCTATTTCACTTGTAGATTATCGATGTCTCGTAGAATAACGTGTTTCCTACAAAAATTATTGTAAATGAGGTTTGTGCCGTGCTTTGTGTTAATGTTATCGCATGGCTAAATGGAAAAAAAAAGGAAAAAATACTCTTGATTTAATCAGTACTTATTTAATTAGTGGAGTAATTAACAAAATTAATTATGCAGTTTGGTCTTTATGCAATGGAAGTTGGAAGCTATTGGAATTTGGTGGCAAAGGAAAAATTTGAGAAGTGCCAAACAGAATTCCCACAACTCAAGTTATTGAAGGTGAAGAGGTTTAAGAAACTTGAGCTTGAAGAAAAATTGGTGAAATATTTCTTGTTGCATGCTACGTCTCTGGAGTCTTTGATTTTGTTGGAAGCAAAAAATTATCGCCATGAAATTAAACTGAGCGATATCATTTATTATAAAACAGTTTCAAACCTAGCTATTGTTTCTACCTATAGTGCTTATCAAGATCAAAGTCGTGTGTTTCCTAAGCATAGAGTCCTGCAGTGAGCGCAGAAGGACAGTCCGATGGACAAGATATCCTGTGTTTACGCAGGGTCTGGAATATATTCGGGCATTCATCAAAAAACTTGTTGTGTTTTCTTTCTCTTTTTGTTTCGACATTAGTGGTGCAGTATTCTTGTTGTGGTGAGAATATGTGGACAAAGAAGGGATATAGTGATCAATATTATTCTTGTTGTAATAAGAAAAATTAGAGATGATGTACTGCTGGTTTTAAATGATATTTGCATCTTTTGGATTTCATATATGGGTTTTTATTGTTTCTCTTCATTTTTAACTTTTAAATTCACCTAAACAATTTAAGCATTTATATTTATTATTATTATTATTATTATTATTATTATTATTATTATTATTATTATTATTATTAATATTTAGATGTTAATCTTCACTACCCTGCGTTTTACAGACTAATTTGCGTCTAAGCAAGCCACTAATTGCTTCCCCCTAGCTCCCAGCCCTTCTCACAACGTAACTTATAATCGCTTCTATTACTTTTTTCTTTTACAATATATATTTCAAAATTTTCTCCACCCCATAAAATCTGAATTATAGCAATTCTTAAATTACAGAAATTCAAATTCAATTCTGCCCTGACATATTAAGTATTATAAGATGGTTATAAACATAAGCATGTGAGTGAATAAGAACTGGATGCAATATCTAAAAACACAAATGTATTTGAAGGCATACTAAATTTAGGGTTACAGCCGCGCGTCAAATCTCGTCGTACGTAACTCTTACTATTAACATAATATGAAAAGACTATAGTATATATATTCATTATGATTGATATACTAATAAAAGTACGTTAATAATTATTTCATCATGGTATAGTACTGATAGTTGCATTCGCAATAATTCATGTGTTTAATACTTTGGTCATATCAAAATAGAATAATAAACTAATTCACAGTGACAAGATGAACATGTTTATTTTTTTCCGTGCCTTTAGTATTAGTGCACTCAAATCTAGCTATTCTTCACATCGGTGATTACCTACTTGCCTGCTTCAATAATTTCTCTTTTATTTTGTCGAATGGAGTAGTTTTTAATTACTCTTTTGATTAGTCATATAAACCTTAAATCCATTTCAGTAAAGACTTACCCATCCGACATTTCACATTAAATCAATGAAAACAAGACAAATATTTTATATATACAACATTATGTATTCTTACTTTAATTTTAATTGTTAAATTAAATTATTTAATTTGATATAAACATGTGAAGCACGTAATATTACCTTATCCCATGTAATAAGGTCAGTTACAGAGCTAATTCTACATAAAATAATAGGGGTTTACTCATTATTTAAGGCGGAACTCTTTTCAAATTGAGCAAGCAGTTTTAAATGGAGAAATGGATAAAGATACAAAGTGACATAATACGTAACTAATCCCAAAATTAATTCCAAAGGTAGAGAAAGTGTGCAGAGATAAACACGAATTAATAAAGGATCATCAAGATTCAGAGGATTATTTAAAGGCCTTATTTAGATGGTGTTTGACTTGATGTCAAGGGGTGGATTTACTATCTAATCTATGGTGTACGTGAACTTATAATTTTTTCGTAAAATTAAATATTTTATGCACATATTTCCTTAAATTAATTTAATATATCGGTTGGCTTACCTCTATATACTATATTAAAAATACGAAGGCCTTTAAACGAAATGTTGTTCGCCTTTTTTACCATTTAAAAATAGAAATCCCCATTAAATAAAATAGTAATTTAAGTTATTTTCCTAATATTTAGGATTTGAAATCAACTAAAATACCCTAATAATTAGAGCTTTGAAATTAAATTTTTTTTACAAATCTGCGTAAACTAATATTATTAGAATTCTGAATGAACATGCCACTTTGACATTCCATATATAAAATTTCGATCATTTAAATCCATAACATAATAAGGAGAATTGGCTTTCAATTACTTTTCATCCACGCCAGGACTCCTATTCCTATCATTTTATTGGCAATTTTATTAAGTATCTAATTTAATATATGGTGAAGCTAGCGTCATAAATAAATAACACTTCTAACGTGAAGAGTCATAAATTGATTTAATTGTTTCCTTATATTCATTTGTTATTTGTAAGAGATAGAGTTTTGGTGGAAAATAAAATCCTATTAGGGTTATAAAAGTGCACCTGTCTATAGAAGAATTTCACCAATGTACGGAAAAAAAACCTCCTTAAGGCCATGCTGGATAGTTTTCAAATTCTGCTCTTTTTAAATTATACAATCTTTGATAATTTACATAGGTTAAGGTTGCACATGGTTGATTGATGTGCGATTAATGATCTAATTATTTTATTATCTTTCCATAGATTTGTTGATTCATGACACAATGATTCAACATATTGTTTTGCTTCGTGCTGATGAAGGCACAATAAAGTTAGAGGGTTTTAGTTTTAATCTTCGGAAACTATTAATATACATATCTTTATTGGTACATCTTTATTGATATATATACGCACCCCTTTATATAGGCGTATAAGGCCAATCAATGAAGTTGATTGTCAAAAACAACTTCAAAATATTTACCATCGATTATTAAACTTCCTATTTACAATAATCTTAACATAGAAGTATATATATAAACAAAGTTAATATACTACCAAGGATAATATTAGTTGTGGTAGATCCCTAATAGAGAAGATTAGTTTTCCTCCACTCTCTTTTCTCTAATATTGCAGAGACGAACCAGCAATTTGGCTAAAAGAAATTGTGGAATATGGTTTCTCAAATTTTATTATGGATCATCTTTCTCAGGTATTACTATACGCTAACTTCTTTTTATAATATAAGTAAAACTTGAAAGATTTGTATTGACCTTTAACGAGATAGTTTTTTTCTTCTTCATTCGGTTGGATATTTTGGGTGGATAATATAATTTTCCAACTCATAAAATATAAATTACACAGTATGTAGAGTTGGCAAGTTGCTTCGTTCATGATTAATATTTATAATTCTTTTTTTATTTTAAAAAAATAATTCTATAACTTCTTAGAAAGAAAAGAAAAGGCTAAGCAAAGGTGTTTTTGATTATTCAGTTGTTAGTAGCAGTTCATTATATTTTTCGCGGGTTTTACAAAGAATAGAAAACCATAGCGTCAATCTCAAAGGAACTCCTCTATATAAATTCTTCGAGTTGAGTTTTGTCATATCATGTGGACTTATTTTGTTGACTACTTTTGACATTGTAAAGTATGATAATATGACATGAATTCGGCTTTCAGACTTTTATTTGCGATGCAATACTAATTTACTTTGGATAATGTCAGTTATTATGAGAAAATCCTAGACTAAAATTGTTAACGATTTCTATATAATTACTATAATTCCAAATATTACATAAATATTAAATAAATACATCATCTTGAAGATCTTTAATTTATCTACTATGTCAATTAAGTATGTAATAACATTCAATTGCATTGTTAAAAAAAATATTGTAAGTACTTTGATGCAACAACGCTTTATGTTACCACATTTTATTTTTCTTGTATATTTTTTATTTATTGATGCGATACACACGTATACTAAAATTAGTACTCTAAAAAGTTTGAATTGTGTATTTAGTTGAATACTGAGTTAATTGCCCAAATGATTGAGATTGATACCTAACTTAATACTTTTTTATCCCTCTATTGATGTCCTTGTCTTATCCCCTGATAGTTAAGTCTTACTTGGCCACTAATTAATAACTTTAAGTTCATCTATAACTTTGACTAAGATCTGTTTGTCTAAATTGAACAAAAAATGAAAATAAAAAGTTCTAGAGTAATTATTATTTCTGCTCGATTGGTTTGCCACTATTACTATTTTAGAGTCAAATTGTATACGGTCGAAATAGATTTCGGCCTTCGTACGTCTGATCGAGTTCGAAAGATAATTGATCGAAGTGAGACCTCGAGATGGGTTCCGAAGATGGTACAAACAAGTTTCGAATCCGAGAGGCCGATCAATGTCGAGTTCGATATCATTGTCAAGTTCAGATCCAAATCGAACTATGATGCAAAATAAAATTATCAAGCTAATGATCCAGAGACCGACCAATATTGACCCCGAATCAATTCGAGAGCTCGAGTCAGAATCGAGCTCGAGCCAAAATCGAGAGCTCGAGTCAGAATCGAGCTCAAACTAAGATCGAGAGCTCGAGTCAAGATCGAGCTCGCAGACAAAAGTCGTTGCAATCCCACTAGAGGAGAGAATCTTGGTAGGAATTGTGAAAAAGCTGATTTATCGTGGGTCTCCTACTGAGTATTTTTAATTATGTTTAGAGCAAGATCCCTCTACTATAAAGGGTATGGTTATCATTTCTATAAAGGCAAGTTTTCACGCTTACATTGTAATCAAAACACTATATTCTCCCATAGTAAATAATTGTTCTTTCAAGCTTCTTAAATTGATTTCACTTGTTGAATCCTAAAATTCATTTTCTTTACAACCTTATCTATTTTGCATTCTTTGCAATCCATATTTCTATTTCTATTTCTATTTATCCTTACAATTTATATTAAGTTGCGCCACATATCCTTAGAACTACGTACAAATTCAACTCCATCTATTTTTCGGGTAAACAGTTTGGTGCCCACCGTGGGGCTAAGGATAACAATGGTTATTTGATATGAATCCGAAGAAACACACCGTTGTGTTTTGCGCTCGGTTCCGAAAATATCTTGGATTTCGGATTAGCAACGACTAACTACCAATCAAATGGCTTCACCAGTCGACAACAGAGCCGGTCTTCAAGTTGAGAACAATAACTTGACACCCAGTACCAAAAGGCCACTTGTAAACACCATTGGAGCTCGAATCGGAGCGCCAATAGATATCAATTCGCATGTAGCCATTAAGGCGAACCTCCATGCTGAACCCGAGAATAACATCCATGGTGGCACTCGGTCTGCAGCTCGAGATACCCATAGCGTGGAGAAAAATGGCGTTAGCTTGCGTATGATTTTCGAAATGTTGCAAGTCCAACATGCAACAATAGCTCAGTTGCAGAGCTAAACCCAGCTACAAAGCAGGCCGGAGCCCAATCCACCTCGAGAAATCACCCACAGAACGGAGCCAACCATAGTGAAGTCAAATGAGCAAGAATCGGGAACTACTCCCGAAATTGATAAATTGCTCGAGGAAATCACAAAGCGAGTCGAAGCCAATCATAAAAAAGTAGAAACTTATAACTC